AAATTCTATAAACCTCTAACTAGATGCATTAGGGAAAAGAGACAAAAGATTACCAATAACAGGCATGAAAGAGCGGACCTCTATAGAGATACTAGGCCTTAAAAGAATAATAAGGGAATATTATGAACAACTTTATGCGGTAAATTCACAACTTAGACAAAATGCAAAACTTCCCCAAAAGACACACGACCAAAGAAGAAATAGGAAAATTAAATAACCCTAGATCTATTAAAGAAATTTAATTCTTAATAAAAAACCTTCCCACAAAGATAATTTCAGGCTGTGAAATAAGAAATACATGTATTTCTTATTAATATATATATATAAATATATATTGGTGTCCACTCCTCGTTCCTGACACAGAGCTAATAAAATCCCTGTAGACAGGGGCGCTAGGAGAAACTTTTGTTCTAATATTTGGTGTTTGACCCCAGTTCCTGACCCAGAGCTCCTAAGGCCTTTGTAATTTCCTGAGTGATAGGAGCATCTGACACAGAGCTCCAAAATTCCTTTAAATTTCCTGGGTGATAGGAGTGTCTTCTGTTCTCTTTGAATTTTCAGTACCACCCCCCGACCCTGGGGATGGGGAAAGGGGCTGAAGGTTAAGTTGATCACCAATGGTCAATAATGTAATCAATCACGCCTACATAATCTTTCATAGGATTTATAGAAGCCTCCATAAAAACCCAAAAGAACAGCGTTCAGAGAGTTCCCGAATTGCTGACTGCATGGAGGTGCCTGAAGAATGGTGCATCCCTTCTCACATGCCATGTCCTATGCATCTATTCCATTTGGCTGTTCATCTGTATCCTTTGTGATATCCTTTATAATAAATGGGTAAAATAAGTAAAGTATTTCCCTGAGTTTTGTAAGCCACTCTAGCAAATTAATCAAACCCAAGGAGGGGGTCTTGGGAACCCCCAGTTTATAGCTGGTTGGTCAGAAGTATAGATGACAACCTACTACTGTGATTGGCATCTGAAGTGGGGGCAGTCTTGTTGAAGTGAGCCTTCAACCTGTGGGATCTAATGCTATCTCCAGGTGGATAGTTTAAGAATTGAACTGAATGATAGGACACCCAGTTGATATCTGCGGAAAACTTGCTTGGTGTATGGGAAAACTGCCACCATCTGGTGTCAGAAGTGTGTTCAGTGGTGTGTGTCAGTAGAGAGAAAAAGTCTGTTTGTCTTCAGACAGGCCTAGATTTTGCTGGGCACTTCTATCAAACATTTTACCAATTCTGTACAAAGTTTATAGAAAGATGAAGGGATATTTTCCCACTTATTCTATGAAGCCAGCAGTACCATAGTACCAAAACTAAAGACATCACAAGAAAAGAAAACTACAGACCAGTATCCTTCATGACCAGAGACACAAAAATCCTTAATATTAAGCAAACTAAATCCAGCAATGTATAAAAACAAGAATACATCAAGACCAAATGAAGTTTATCCTACAAGTGAATGGCTGGTGTAACATTCAAATATCAATTGATGGCAAAACCTAAAATGAATAAATGTAGTTTGCCATATTAACAGACTAAAAAAGAAAAGCCATATGATAATCTCAAAAGATACAGAAAAAGCATTTGACAAAATTCAACATGTAGGCATAATGAAAACTCTCAAAAAACTAAGAATAGAAGAGAACTTCCTCTATCTGGGAAAAAAAGGTATCTATGAAAAACCTACAGCCAACACCAAAATGGAGAAAGACTAAATGCTTTCCTCCTAAGACTGGGAACAAGGCAAGTTTGTTCACTCTCATCTCATCTGTCCAATACTGTACTGAAGAGTGTAGCCAGTGCAGGAAGGCAATAAAAAGGAGTTAGAGGCATCCAGGTTAAAAAGGAAGAAATAAAACTGTCTTTAGTAACAGAAGACATGACTGCCCATATATGTATGAAATTGATACAAGGATAGTCCTAGATCAACAGAATAGAAGAGGGAGTCTAGAAGTAGACCCACATATATATGTTGAACTGATTTTCAAGAGACATGCTAAGGTAATGCAATGGGGAGAGGACAGTCTTCAACAAATGGTTCTGAAACAACAGAACACCCATATGCAAACCTCAACCTTCACCTTTTACTATATATAAAAATTAGCTCAAAATGGGTCACAGACCGACATGTGAGAGCTAAACCTATAAAAATTCCAGGGGAAAACAAGAAGAAACTTTTTGACCTTGGATTGGGGAAAGATTTCTTAGATACAATACCAAAAGCATAATCCATAAAAGAAAAAAAAATTGATAAATTGGACTTTATCAAGATTAAAAACTTCTGCTCTGTGAAAGACATTGTTAAGAGAATGATGAGAAAGACAAAATATTTGTAAATCACTTATCTGACAAAAAGAGCTTCTATCAGGAATTTTGAAAACTCTTTTAATTCAATAAGAAGACAGTCAATTTAAAAATGTCAACAGATTGGAACAGACAGTTCTGTAAAGACAAAAGAATGGCAAATAAGCACATGAAAAGATACTTAAGATTGTCAGTCATTAGTAAGACACAAATTAAAACCACAGTGTGATATCCCTGCAAACCTACCAGAATGGCTAAAATAAAAAGACTGAAGGCAAGGATGTAGAGCAACTGGAGCTCTCATACGTTGCTGGTGGGAAGGCAAAATAGTACAATCACTTTGGAAAACAGTTCGGCAGTTTCTTATAAAGTTAAACATAGATTTACGCTAGGACCCAACCATTCCACTCCTATGTATCTACTCAAGAAAAATAAACATATATGTTCACATATAAACCTATATTCATAGTGGCTCTCTTTATAATTGTCCAAAACTGGAATTAACCCATACATCTTTCGGTCTTTGAGTGGATAATCACACTGTGTTACATCCATTCAATGGAATACTACTCAGCAATCAAAAGGAACAAACAATTGATGCATATAACACATGCATGAATCGCAAATGCATTGAACTAAATTGAAAGAAGCAGACCCAAAATGCTACCTACCATATGATTCCACTTACACGACATTCTGGAAACACGACAGGGATAGAAAACAGTGGTTGCCAGGGGCTGGGGTATGGGGGAGGGGTTAACTAAAAAGGAGCACAAAGGAACTTTCTGGGGATGATAGAAATGTACTATTGATTGTTGTGGTGATTACACAAAGCATGCATTTCTCAAAACTCATAAAACTACTCAAAAGGGGCCAGGCGCAGTGGCTCACGCCTGCAATCCTAGCTCTCTGGGAGGCCGAGGTGGGCGGATTTTTTGAGCTCAGGAGTTTGAAACCAGCCCGAGCAAGAGCGAGACCCCGTCTCTACTAAAAAAATTAACTGGACAACTAAAAATATATAGAAAAAACTAGCTGGGCATGGTGGCGCATGCCTGTAGTCCCAGCTACTCGGGAGGCTGAGGCAGGAGGATCGCTTGAGCCCAGGAGTTTGAGGTTGCTGTGTGCTAGGATGACGCCACGGCACTCTAGCCTGGGCAACACAGTGAGACTCTGTCTCAAAAAAAAAAAAAAAAAACTACTCAAAAGGTAAACTTTAGTATATGTAAATCAAACTTCATTAACCCTCACTTTTAATAAAATGATACAGCCATAGTATATTATGTAACCATTTGAAAAATGAGATGGATCCATATATGCTGATAATAGGATAATCACTAACACATATTGTTAGGAGTAAAAAGTAAAGTACGGAACAAAAAATATAGTATGTTCCCATTTATGGTAATACTGGCTGTCTCTGGGGAAGGAGTCTGGGGTGGCAGTATTTATTTATTTATTTTTACACCACATGCTTGTATTACTTTCAATTAGAAAAAATACAAGAAGCCTATATACAGGTCAAGGAAAACTCACAGGTGTCTGGGCCAGGGGACTGAGTTGTGTGGGCTTTAGAAAACATGTGTTAAGAACACAGAACACACAGCCAGACACAGACAGAGGCACTCAATAAATAGCTGAAGGAAGCAAAATATTTGGACTCAATTCAGAAGGACAAAGAGATCTCTATCTGAGCACCAGATATCGAGCCAGCATAGCCCCTGCTAACTGGGATTGCTCACGTTAGAAGAGAAAAGGAGCATAAAACCAAATATCCTGGATTACTTCCGGGCCAGCTGTTTCTCAGCACTCCTTTGCAAGCACATCGTGTGCCCGAACCTCAGCCTTCTAAGGGATGGGAAGCAAGTCCTTCCCCCAGATAGAAGAGCCCAAGCCCACAGGCCACCCCTAGGCTTCCTCTGGTGGTCCCAGTGCTGTGCCCTGATGCCCGGAGGCTCCTGAGCAGCCTTTCCTCCAGCCCCTCTGAGTCAAGCTCCTCTCACTTCCTGAAGGAATACCATGACCCTGACAGGCTACCTACACTCTAAGATAAAACAAGACAATCTCAGCACTTCATCTCCTTTTCCCCACCAAGGCTTCGGGAAAGAAAACCCAAAAGGAGAAGGTAGATAAGTGAGAAAGGCCCCTTAGCAGCATTTGGTAAAAGGGACTCCTGGGTTAGGCAGCCATTCTTTAAGCAAGTCTGATACCAAGGAAGTCAGGGGCTCCCCAGGGCAAAATGGTCAGAGAGGGACGGTGCTAAAACTCTGACCGCCTCAGAAACTCCTTGTTCCTGCTAAAGCCTCCCGGAAGCCAGCTAGTTGGTCCCAGTTTCCAAAAAAGCTTGTTTGGTCATTGACACTAGGACTAGGAGCTTCTGTGCTTGCAGCCTTGCCTGGCCACCTCTGGATACCTGGCATCCTTGGGGCAACCACGTAGGCTATCCCTCTGCAGAAACAAGTTGAGCCTGCAGGCGCAAGCTCCAAGAGGTAGGATGGGCCTGAGGCGCAGCAAGGGCATGGACAGGAACTGGGGCAGGAGCCAACTAGAAGCAAAGTCCTTTCCAGGCACCCGTAGATTCCAGGATCCAGGAGGGACGTTACAGCAGAATCTTGACTGGCCACGAGGGACAGGTTCCGGACTCCGGGCCACGCGCCAGGCCGTCCAGGCAACGGAAGGAGGCAGGAGCACTTACCGGGGGAAGATGGCCGTCATCAAGGCTGAGGCGTAGCCGGGCTTGCAGGCTCCCTCTGAAAAGTTTGCGTACTTGGTGGCTAACTCAGCAGGCCTACGGGAAGAGAGGGAGAGTCACAGCTTGCCAGGCACTGAGCAGTCAGTGGGTTATAACTGAGGAAGAGCTGTAGGTGTTTATACCTTGAACAAAGCTTCATGCCCTACAATCAGCACTTCAGGCATTTTTCCACACCAAGGCTTCAGGGGTTTTAAAAAAAAAAAAAACACCCAAACCTTAAAAGAATAGGTAGATAAGTAAGTCAGGCCCCTCAATTTCACACAGATTCTTCGCAGTAAGCCTGAGACCAGGGAAGTCAGGAGCTCCATCCGGGCTCCAGGTACTCGGCTGCTCAGGCCTGACAGAGTCAGAGGTGCTGCCTTTCCAACTTCCCTGGACGTTCACGAACGTCCAACCTCATCTGCTCTTACTCCTGCCACACGAACCACGATCCACCCAGTGGGAGCCACTCACAGGGGCTGAATATAGACACCAATATAAGTGTGTTACTGGGGCTATTTTAGGTGAGGATGTTCCCCGCTCTCTCTGCCTGGGATGTTATTCCTGTCCCTCTCCACCTGGCCAATGCCTCCTGGTCCTTCACAACTAAGTTCAGATGTCAGCTTCACTGGGGGCGATTCCCTGACCCCCAGATTGAGCTAAGTGCACTCCTCCGTGCTGTGCCTGCCCCTGCCACCCATGTCACACACTTGCCCCCATCAGCACTCGCCATTCTGGATTAGAATTGTTGCCAGTGTGTCTCCCTCATTACGCTGCAAATTCCTGAGGTCAGAATCTGACTTAAGCCTGCCCACCTTCCCCCCACCCGTACCCTGCACAGAGATGGGCACACAGAAGACCCCTATAACTTTCTGAAGGGAGGAAATGACCTTGACAGTCTCACAGCAGCCCAGGTAACCTCAGGAACCCACAAGCAGAGATTGCCAGATATTTTCAGAAGACTTCTGTTCTAACCCAAACTTTGTTGCTGTATGACTACAATCATGCCACCTCACATCTTTGGGTTTCAATGTCCTTAAGTGTTCAATGTGGGGCTCAAGTCCCTGCCCTGCCACCAAAAACTCTGCTCTATGCAGTCTAGAGAAAATCAAGGCAGGAGAACAGGATATATTCAGTGAATGGGCTCAGTGACTGCTGGGGCTTGAGGCCCTGCATGCTGGGGCACCTGAGTGAGCCCTGGCTGGCTGCCAGTCCTAAGTCCCAACATCCTCCGCCCCCACCTTGGGCCTGCTGCCAACACGCTGGTGCCCAGCTGCTCTACTGGGCTGTGGCCCTGTGGCAAGTCTGCCCCTGGGGCTGCCTTCTGCAGGGACTGGGTGGGGTGGATATGGGGTAGTGTTGCCAGAGCGATGATACCACTGCCTAATGTGTGTCACGTCTGATTCACCCCTGGACCCCTGCGGGCCTAATCCAGGACCTTACACAGAGTAACTGCTCATTGAATATAGACAAACTCATCTGTATCCATGTGCAATTTCTTTTAGAAATATACGTTTTTAAGCCTTCCCTACCAATGAAATTCAAAGCCTATAATGCAAATCCAAATGCTGAGTGACAAGCCAAGGAGTGGGACTTTATTTGGTAGGCAAAAGAAAGCCAAAGGTTTTAACAAAAGAAAAATATTTTCTTATGTAAACAACTGTATTTCAGAAATGAAATATAAACTCCAGTGCAATTACTGAACTTCCTAGAAGCTTTTGGACTAGGCACAGTGATGAAAACATTCTAGATGTTTCAACAACGCTGTGAGCAGGTGCCATGAATTATTAATTTACACATGAAGCTCAGAAAGATGAAGAGACTTAGGATCATACAGCCGGCAAGTGGTAGACATTGGATTTGAACTCACTCCTCTCTAACACCGGTGCAGGAGCTCCTAACATGACACTGCCACCAACGCTATCACAGAGGAAAGTGCCGAGTTCAGCGATAGCACAGGAGTGGTCAACGCAGTTGGAGACGGGGTAGAGGAGAGGGTCAAGAAGGTCTCACACAGCTCTTTGGAAGGATATATACAGTGGTGAAGCATTCTGAGTCCCTTCCTGCCCTATCCCCAACCTCCCCTCCGCAACCTGCTTCCCCGCCTTGTGCTATGAGTTCCTGTGGTCTTTCTGAATTCCAGAAAGTTTCACAAACAAGTTGACAGATGGACAGCAGTTGCCCTTCTTCACACAGTATGTTACAGAAATAAAAGTACAACAACAGACAATCCCCTGGCCACACGCTTGCTCTCTCTAGTTCACCCTGTCAACTTTTGGCGAGGTGCTTGAAGAATAAGGGCTGTGGAGCAGTCCAGGGTCCATGGGCTCAGGCCATCATGGAGAAGAGGGGACCAGAACCCAACAGGGATGGCAGGAGGTACTACTCTCTCCATGGCAGTGCAAGGCAGTCAGATATCAAGGATGATAGGCTCTAAATCAACCCTCATTTAGAAAATGCAACATAACTTCTAAAATGTACAACTCCAGTTACAGTGGGCCATGTCAAGTTATTACCAAATTAAAATGCCTTAGAAATGGCCTCCTGACTATCCCAGTGCAAGAAGAATAGGGGGAGTGTTGGGGACTCTGAGTCATGCAGCAGGCTGGGACCTCTGGGGCAGTTAGCGGTCAAAACCACCAAGATTAATGGTCGCCAACTCCCTGAGGCCAGAATAGTTAGTTAGTCTCTCTAAGGCACTCACACTCCAAATGCCAGGAGGCCCCACGGAAGTCTGATCAAATCATTCAGCCCTTGTTCTTCTCCTACTCTGCAGCTGGCCTTTCAAACAGTAAGAGCACCCATTGTCCTGCAAACGTGACTACCAGGCCCTGGGGTGAAGAGTGTGACTACTGCACTCTCAAGAGGACATCCAGATGGACAGACTGGAACCCAAAAGAAGGAACCAGACTTTCACTCCCCTGCTTCACTCAGCAGGGCCATGTTTAAGGAATCCGGCCAAGCAATGTAAACAGAAAGAACATCAGTTCTGGAATCAGAAACTCTCACAGAGGACACTGCAAGCCGTGTGACCTTGGGCAAATGATGGAAAATCTGATTCCCAGCTTCCGCATGCCCAATGGGAACCACGTAATTCCCAGGATCTTGTGAGGATGTGGTGAGAAAGCACGTTTGGAGAGGATAGCACCGTACAAATGCTACGTGGAAGGGGAGGTGGCAGAGGCAGGCAGCCAGGACGTGGAGGACTTGAGCACTTGGCTCAAGTCTGGACTCACCCACCGGGAAGAGCTGCCACGTGACTTTCAGTGGAGGCTGTCCTGACTGGCGTGTGCATTTATTCGAAGGGTCAAGAGGGTCAAGAAGGCCTCACACAGCTCTTTGGAAGGATATACACAGTGGTGAAGCATTCTGAGTCCCTTCTTGCCCTGTCCCCAACCTCCCCCCGCAACCTGCTTCCCCGCCTTGTATGAGTTCAACATCTGGGAGATGAGGAGTGCAACTGCAGGAGGTTGGGAGGAGCAGTCAGTCAGTGAGACAGAAAAATAATCGAAAGAGTGTGATGCCCCAGTTTCCAAGGGAAGGAAGTGTCTCAGGAAGGATGCGGGGCCCACCGTGTCAAATACTGCGGTAGGCCTGGGAAGGTGTGGCCATAGGACCAGCTGCTGGATCTGGCAACATGGCGGTCGCTGCTGACCTTGACAAGAGCTGTTTCACTGGAAGGTGGAGGGGCTCTAGTTTCACTCGGTTTAAGAGAAAACTGGAGGAAAGGACTTGTAGGCATGGAATATAGATTATTTTTAGGAGTTTTCTCTAAAGGCAGAGAAATGGGGTAATAGCTGGAGGGGGGAAGCAGGTAAAAATAGTGTTTTTGAGGTTAGGAAATATTTTAGCATGTTTATATGCTGGTTAGAATAAAAGAAAAACTCAGGATACAGTAGAGACGGGACAGTTGTAGGGAGAATTGTCCTTGAGAAGGTTGGGGAGGGGAGGATCCAGCAGAAACAGGGAAGGGCTGGCCTTAGCTCTGCTCCCTCACCCTACCCTGGCCAGGGAACACCTATTCAGTTTAAGCACCACTTCCTTTTGGGACTTCCTGTGATGCTTCTCCCAAGTAAAACCAGCCCATCCTGCCTGTGGACCCCGAGTCTCCTAGAGCAGACTTTGCTCAGTTCCACTCTCTCTCCTTCTCTCCTACCTCCTTCCCTTCCTTCCTCTCATTCATTCATGCAACAAATATTTAGAGGCAATGGAATCACTCTGCTTGGATTTTTATCCTGGCCCTATTCCTTACTAGTTGTGTGATTTGGGGCTTTTCTTTTCTTTTTTTTTTTTTTTTTGAGACAGTCTTGCTCTACCGCCCAGGCTACAGTGCAATGGTGTCACCATAGCTCACTGCAACCTCCAGCTCCTGGGCTCAAAAATCCTCCTGCCTCAACCTCCAGAGTAACTGGGATTACAGTCATGCACCACCATGCCCAGCTAATATTTTCCATTTTTAGTGGAGATGGGGTCTGGTTCTTGCTCAGGCTGGTCTCTAACTCCTCACCTCAAGCGATCCTCCTGCCTCAGCCTCCCAGAGTGCTAGGGTTACAGGCGTGAGCCACTGCGCCTGGCCTGTTTTTTTATTGTTATTATTATTTCAAAATACTAAGGGGGTACAAATGTTTTCGTTACATGGATAGTTTTTGTAATGCTTGAGTCAGAACTGTAAGTGTGCCCATCACCTCAACAGTGTTCCTCATACCTGTTAGGTAGAATTTTGCCCCTCCCCTATTCCCCCCACCCCACTGCTTGATTTCCAATGGGGCATGTTATTTAACTGTTCTGTGCCCTGAATTTCCACATCTTTAAAGTTGTGATTACATAACTTTAGTACTTACTCCATAAAACTGTTGTGAGGATTACTCTGAGAATAATGTGCTGGCATCTAGTACAATGCCTGGCACCTAGTTATCACTCAGTACATGCTAACTGTAACGTGCCTGGGATTAGGGAACGATGATGACTAGGACATGTTTACGGCCCAGCATTCATTACACTGAAGAGTAATCGTTTACTTATTTTTCTCTCCTAGACCATGATAATTTAGGAAAGCA